GTACAAAGAGCCCAGTATTTCTCGAATAAGCTTAGAAAGAACAACGATCTTGCGCATAACATTCAATAACAAACAAAAACCGATTCCACAAAAAAAAACTACAAAAACTGAACTGCTGTGTTGCTTCACCCACAGGCTGTAAGGCTGCAAACAAAAAAGCAAACGGTTTTATTTAAGCGGTTCTTAAAGGTGTTGTAAAACGCTTATGCCAGTTTGCGGATGCGCCCACCAGGGTGCAGGTGCAAAATTTTGTGTTCCACATCTCCTCACCAATGGTTGAATTGTTCCATCATCACTCCGAGTTCTACCGATTCGCCATCCTGCAGACCATTAAGTGTAAGTTCCGAGTTTTTCTTTTCTGTTTGAAAACAAACGATGCATGAACTTATTTTCTCAGGCTAAAAGGGGGACCCACGATCTTGAATAAAGTGTTACACCACATACCAGACAGATTGCGTTCCATCTAGACATGGACGGCATGAAATGGTCACCAAAGCGTTCCCGATCCTTCCCGATTCAGATTATGATTTAATGGGGTCCGACAGCGAATTAAAGTGTGGAGGCATTTGCAAAGCGTTGTACGCTTGTTAAGAAGATGTCCCACTGACCCTGTCATGAAAACTGGATGTAAAACATTCTGCTGTGTTGCTTAAATACCTACCAATGCATTTTTTTTTCTATATGCAATTTCTCAGGAGCTGCAATAAAATTGAAATCTTACCTGCGTCACGACGTTGTGTTGCGAACAGTCTGGTTCCAGTAATCGGTTTGCAGTGTTTTTCCCACTGCATCCAATATAACAAACACCGTAAACAGAGCAAACAGCAAAAAGTAAAAGACAGCCACGACAATCCTGTCCTACCACCGATCTTGGCGAGTCATGACGGGCATCATGGCTTGAAGGTTAGAACGTCGGATTTTATAAAACATTTTTGAACGTGAACCATTTTTGGAAGTGGCTTTAAATACTTGCAGAAAAACTAGATTCCAGATTGAATAAAAAGCGATGTGTAAAAGATACGAGTGCACTGCAACACCGGAAATTTTTCAAGCTTGTTGAGACATTTAAGGCTATCTCGTTGAAAAAACTAATTTAGTTTTTATTAAAGTTTTTATTTCGATTTTTGATTTGTAGCCATCATCGCCGTAAAGATGTATAGCGTATTAAAGCAGCAGCCACGCTTTGAGGCGCCATTCGGCATGTGTGTTTGTGGGCCGACAATGTCTGGTAAAACACAATTCGTATTAAATTTAATTAACCACCGCGCGCAGATGATTTGTCCGGTCCCTGAACGAGTTGTTTTCTGTTACGGCGAATGGCAGAAAGTTTTCGACAACCTGCAAGACTCTGTAGAATTTATTAAAGGCGTTGATGCCGTTTTTGAGAAAGCGGACTTCTTTGATTCTAACCCGCACACTTTGCTGGTTACTGATGACCTCGCAAGCGATATCTGCAAAGACGTGCGTTGTTCCAACCTCTTCACGCGTGGCATCCATCACAAAAACGTTTCGGTTGTTTTGCTGTTACAAAACCTTTATAAACAAGGAAAGTCCATGCGAGACATTACCCTGAACTCGCAGTATCTTGTGTTATTTAAGAATGTCCGTGGTATCAATCAAATCAAACTTCTTGCTCGGCAGACAGGACTTTGTCAGCTAAGCGATGCGTACCACAAAGTTACTGCTGAGCCATATGAACCGCTGATTATTGATATACGATCGACGTGTCCGGACTATTTAAAGGTGAGATCACATGCCTTCCCAAATCGGTCGATGCGAATTTTTGTGAAAGCCAATTCTAATGATATACCGAAACCATGTCAGAACGCGTCAAAGCCCTTGCCCCGTTCGTTATCACATTGAAAAACCTTAAGCCGAAACAGCGCCGCGTCTTGATGGGGTTTATGAACATACCGCAGCTGAAGGCTCTGGAAGAGATTGCTGTCAACATTATCAAGAATACTGTCAGTTTATCATCCGCCGATTTGAACAAATGCAAACGTCACCGCAAAGCATTAAAGCTGTTAGCTTTGCGCCGTTATCCCATGAAAGCCAAGAAGCGGATTCTGCAGCAAGGTGGACTTTTGGGTGCCATTTTGCCTGTTATTGCTGGTGTACTCACATCGTTGATTGGTAATGGATGAGTATTTTATTGTACCTCGCCGCATCATGGAGGAGCGTCTACATGAAAAAATTCAGAATAACCGGGAGCCACCGGAAGCCAAAGCCGTCGTTTCGTTAGACAATTTAGTGGCCGAAACCTTGCAACGGAAAGATATAAGCGAATATGAAAAAGCCAGCCAACTTTCCAGTATCTTAGAACGTTTTCTGACTCTCAAGCAAAAAGTCATGCCAGATGAAAATGCCGTGGAGCCTCCCCAATACGTCCCTCCTACACCACCTCCAACTAAAAAGCCCCGCCCCAGTCTCCCCAAAGAGAAAGCTGATGAAGCACCCATACCTGTGCCCCGCTTATGATCACACAAACACCAAACGGGACACGGCATGAAGCACAAAATTAATTGGATCACGCTGCCGTAATGTCTGGATTTTTACCAACAGTCATCCGGTTGTGCCGATTTTCAAGATTAACTGCGTCTCCAACTGCTGTAACGATGGATCGCCTAATGAAGAGGTACCTCGATCCTCGTCATCCCGAAAGTTTTGGCGGAGTCGAACGATTTCGAAGAACACTAAAAACCAGAGCCAACAAACGGAGAGCCCCGGAGATGCTGCAAGAGATCGATGCGTACACTGTCACCAAAGAAAGGCGGAAACGGTTTCCACGCAATCCAGTGATAGTTACCAATCTGCGGCAGCAGTACCCAGCTGATTTGGCCGATTTATCAAAATACTCCAAGGAAAATGACGGATTCAAGTATTTGCTGTTTGTGATTGACTGCTTTTCCAAAATGTTGAGTATCCAAGCTTTAAAGACCAAGACCGGAAAAGAAACCCGCGATGCCCTCCAGAAATGTTTCGAAGAACTCGGTACTCCGGAAAAGTTGCAATATGGTAAAGGAACGGAAATGCTAAATTCAACCGTTCGTGCTTTTTTGAAAGACCAAAACGTGCAATTTTTCACGTCCCAAAATGAAGACATAAAATGCGCTATGGCCGAACGCGTTATCCGAACTATAAAATCGCGCATATTCAGACTGTTCCGCCATCGTGGTAGCACACGTTATATCGACAAACTGCCGGACTTTGTGTACTCGTACAATCACTCCTTGCACAGCGCCCAAATTACCCGGCGGGACCACAATGCTTTTTTGGACACTGACATATCTTGGAGCACCAATGAATTCACCATCTTTTTTTACATAAAATTCTCGCACAACATCCAGTCAGATTTTTTGTTCAACAGGCAAAGTATAAAAAGAATTGAGATACTGCAGCTCCACCAGTGCCATTTCCCATTTCCCTTTCAATGTGATTGGATGTTTTAGCTTGGTAGTCCAACTGGAAGGGGTGTTGGCAGGATCGATAGCGACATCACTAGGCAGAGTCAGGTAAAATGGCGCACCTTCATACATTTTTCATCTATCCACTGATCGTGTTCCGGTCCGAAACCTAGCCAACGCACCAACACCTTCTTTCCACGGCGTTTGACAATGAATTCACCATCTTGGTCAGGAACGTTGCGGACGAGAGATAACTCGGGTTCGTAGAACTTTCCGTCAATGGAGTTGTCTTGATAGTCTTTCAAAACGTAAAGCGGTACCGGATGAGGAATAACTTGCTTGATGAAAAATATTGCTTCCTTAAATCGGTAAGTGTATCCCTTTTCCACTTTTCCTTTCCGAATAGAAATACGCACCGCATCACCAACCTTGTAGCGTGGTTTCTTTGCCTTGGGCTTTGGGTACAGCTTGCTGTACACACGCAACGGATTTTCCTGCTTGACTTCAACTGGCCGGAGTTGCTTCTGCAAACCATCAATTCTTTGGCTCCTGTCGTTAAATCTTACTTGCTGGATGGAAGAGTGACACTGGACAAAAGTGCACTGCCCAACAACAAAATGTTCGAAGTGCAGTTTTTTACGCCAACCAATTATAAAGTCAAGCTGAGCATCGGAAATAACCGGGTATCCATATACTTTCCACCTGAATCGGTAATGTTGCAGAAAATTCTGGGTTTCGATCAAAGCACATTCGAACCCAAGCCTGCTGCTGAAACCATTGACACCGCCTAAGGTCAAGCAAGAGCAAAATACTTGGGATTCTGGGACAAAGCTCCGTCACCACAAGTAACGACGTTCATCTCCGACCGACCTGTGAACACTTTGCTGGGGAACCAAAGCCTATTCGTTTACAGCGATGTGTCTGACTATAGTTTGATTAGAGACACGGCGGCGCAATTTCTGCGTGCCGTACCTATTAGAGGCGAAGTGAATCAGACTGTGGAAGCGCGTTTTGACATTCCTCATTATGTACCTGTTCTTCGACAACATTTTGAAACCATTAAACTGATAATTGCCAACGATCTCGGAGACGAAGCCAAGTTCCAAACGGGAAAGTCTCTGGTCATACTGCACTTTCGACCACAACGCTTGTATTGAAAAAGCCGTTTGTTCCGTATGTTCCTGACCCCCCGGCGCTACGATGACATATTCGTCAGCCAAACGGGTGGAAACGCGCTTATTCGTTACCGTGGGACACTACAAAACGGCTCTGGCCTTCCTCAAATCCTGAAGAGCCTATTCGCTTAAATATCGGCGTTTGCCAAGCCCATAATCCGTCGGGCCGCCCCACATGCTAAGGCAGCCCTGGATGCGGCCACACCCCATTTGCAAAAAGCTGCAACTGGGGTCATTAAAGACGCTCGGACCAAGCAAAAGAAGCCATTAAGAAACGTTTAGCACCTCAAGAAGGAAGCGGTATTCGTAAGAAACGTCGCATTGAACGTAATCGCATTCGCATCAAGCGCATTCCTCCGGCCAATATCCCTAATTATTTTTAATCATGGCTCTTCTGATGATGAAAAATTCTGAACCCACAATGCAACTGGAAAATCAGCTCTTCGCCCTTCCGGCTACTTTAACTGACCGGTGGCGCATGGAGCACGAAAAGTTGAGCCCGACGACGATTTTGACGGACAACGGCTCAGCTGAGGATATCAGTTTTTACATTCCTCCCAGTGCATCTGGCTTGCTCAGCTTGGCAGATAAGATCTTAGAATTGGAGGTCGGCATCAAAGTGAAGAAAGGTGCTGCTGATTGGACACTGGTAACGAACGCTGACAATGTGGCCCCCGTCAACAACTTTCTACATTCGCTATTCTCTTCGTGTCACGTAACTGTGGCAAATCGGCTTATTTCGGGTGCCGCGTCATTTTATCCATACCGGGCTTATTTGGACTCTCTCCTGTCCTATTCGGTGGATGCCCAAAGGTCCCAGTTGACATCTGCTGCGTTTTACACTGACACTGCACACAAGATGAGCGACGATAAAGACAACAAAGGAGAAGTAGGCCGCAGAACCCTATTTGCTGGCGGTAACTACGCCCAACTGTCCGGAAAAATATTTGCTGACTTATTCGACCAAAGTAAACCGCTGTGCACCGGTGTGCCGATCAACATCCGCATGGTGATGAGTCGCCCCGAATTCTGTTTACGAGTATGGGACACTGATGCCACCAAACAGTTTAAACCTTTTATTCGAAATGCACGACTGTCCATCCGTCGATACATTCCGGCACCTAATTTTATCACCGCTGTGGCTTCCGAAATGCTGAAAAAGACCGTAAAATACCATATTGAGCGTGTGGTTATGCGTGTCTCGGATATTCCACAAAAAACTCAAAGCACGGTTGTCAGCAACCTGCAAATTGGACAGATTCCCAAGGTGGTTTTTATCGGATTCGTGGAGAGCGAGGATTTCCACGGCAGTCTCAAAACGAATCCCTTCAACTTTCAACATTTCAACATCAACCAGATCAGCGTGCAAGTGGATGGTCAAAGCTATCCTACAAAGCCGTATACTGCGGACTTCGGACGTTCGTTGTCCGTTGAATGCTACGATGGCTTGCTGGATGCACTGGGTCACCGGACCCACCCACAAAGCAGTGTGCATTTCAATCGAACGGCTTACAATGGTGGCTACACGCTTTTTGGTTTTGACCTGACACCCGGCCATACCGGGAGAGGACCGCTGACTTTGGTGAAACAGGGAATTTTAAGCGTATCCGTCAGTTTTGAAAAACCATTGGATAAGACAGTTATGATGGTCGCCATGTTGGTGTACGACAGCATTATTGAGATCAACCAGCACCGCCAACTGAATGCGGATTTTTCAACATGAACACGGACCAGATTCTTAGTGCACTCCAATCAAACCCAACTACAAATGCTCTACTACGCGGGGTGTTTGCCAGCGATGAAGTGCCATCCGCACTGGCACCTTATCCTGGAGCAGCAGTGGTCAACACTGATCCAGCGGACCAAGACGGATCACACTGGATTGCACTCTACCAAGAAGGAGATGGAGTTTTGGAAGTGTTTGATTCCTTTAGGAGGAAACTGGACTCGTATACAAAGAATTTTGCAAGTTTGTGTTCTGCTACCCGGATCATAGAGCAATCTGAACCATTTCAATCTGAATTTAGCACTGTGTGTGGGCAGTGTTGTTTGTTTTTTTTATTTTGCGTCGCGTTAATGGTGAATCCTACACCAATATAGTGCATTTGTTTACCGATAATCGAGTCTGCAACGACAAAATGGTCTGCCAGTATGTTAATTCCTTTTTCGACATTAATACATAATTAGTTGACGGTGCATTTATCCGTCAAATATGTAAACGAATAATCGAATTAAAATAAAAGAAAAATACACTTGTGGGTTTAGTAATTAAACAGAATACAAAGATGACGCAACACGGCTCAAATAAGTTAGCAAACATGGCAAGCAACTCGAGAGCATTCTGTTCCAAATACCCTTTAACATCCAACCCAATAACCTGTCCAATATCCACCTGATCAGCTTCCAAAAGCACAGCCTCCACAAAGCGCGATTCGACAATAGCTTTTTGAGCCGCTGCCCACTCGTTATCATTGGCACTTCCACCTGACACCTTGCCGTTCCGTCCGCGCGTTTGATGCGCGGCTTCAAAGGCGTAGCAGGGATCTCACGAGCTGCTCCACCAGTTGATGGCTTGGGAGACATGGCGCGTTCTGATAAAATAAAGTCCGGAATAAACTCCATGGTCTGCTTCGGAGAAATAGGTTTCGAAAAACGAAAACGTTAGACAAATGATGTCGCAGCTGACTCTGTTGCCTGACTTTTATAGGTCGGCAAGCAGTAGCTGTCTTATGCAAAATTTTGCAAGTGAAAAGTGTGCTACTGGTTTTGCCTTGCGTTTTAGGGACAATGTTTTTTTGTACGTACGTGCAGGTGCAGAAACACGGTTTTGCACAGCACTTTGCTATGCAATTTAGGGAAAGTCTCAACTCGTACGTACGTTCCTCCTCTGCAAGTTTAGTATAAAAGGACAGCGAAGCAACTCATTCGATTCATTTCAAAAATGGCTCTAAGGTGTGTTATCGATGCTGATTGGTTCGTTATAAACCACCAAAAGCACATAAAGCAATTATCGTTCTTCTGCCTGGAAAAAGGAGAAGTGGGACTTTATACATTTACCTTGCCGCGCAGTGCTTCTCAGTGCACTCGGGATTTAGAAAAACAAGCGCGCCACTCTCATGGATTGATCTGGCACATTTACGGTGACTACCGCCACAATTAGACAGCGGTGGTTTCTGAGAATATTTTTGAAAGAATCGGCCGACCAGCTGATGTCACCTTTTACGCCAAAGGATTGGAAAAGTGCCGCCTATTGGAAAAATATCTTCCGGAAGTCTTCAATTTGGAGGATTATCACTGTCCAACGTTTCGGCAGCTAACGTCAGCGACCCAAACCACCCAGCGGAAGGCAATCATCTTTGGTTTGTGGCTGTACAAGAATGGTGCGGATCACCAATGTTGTGGCCACCGCAAAGCTGAACTGCCAACTGAACCTGAATGTCATTGAAAAACGCTTGCCATTGGCCCAGTACACGCCTCGATCATTTTCGGGGCTTCTTCTGAGTCGGATTGTGCCACCAAAAGCTCACTGTCAGCTGTATGTCAACGGTAAAATGACTGTGAATGGCGGAAAGAATTTGGACGAATCGCGTTCTTGGTTAGAATATTTTGTACGGTTGCTATGTAAAATTGGTTATAATTTTCGTGTTACCGATTTCAAAGTGGTAAATATTGTGAGGACGCATGACTTTGGTCAGCGGTTTGACCTCGACCGCGTTAGTAAAACGTTAAATGTTTCGTATTTTGCTGATCGGTTTTTGGGTTTGCGCATAAAGTTGCCGGAATGTACTGCCATTTTATTTGCTAGTGGGCGCTGTAATTTTCTGGGCGTTAAAACGGAAGTCGATTTGACATGGGCAATGATTGATCTCGTGTTAATGTTGCCAATAAAATGAAGTCGAAGGAAACTGCTTCATATTTTATTTCCATTTATCGCGACGTATAACCATAAGGAAGCGTGATCCAATTGGCATCAACAATTCTAAGCTTATCATACGTATAGCTCAAGCGTTTAGACAAATCAACTTGTTTAAGAGTCATTAACTTTTTCACACGCTGTATGCTGTCAGGGTACTCTGCCACAAGAAAGTCCGTCTTCTTTTCTAAAACGTCCACCATTTTTTCAAAGGTGATGACTTCACTGGTGTGACCGTTCAGTGTAAAGCCTTTCACCTTCACAACGCTCTTTCCATCATTGGCCTTGTAGGAGTAGGTCTTCGGGCCAAGGCTAACGAACTGACTGATGAACTGACCAGACTGCAGTTCGTCGGTGACGTCGCCAAGGAACTTGCCTGTGGGTGGAGTGGGGAAGCCAGGTTTATCCACGAAAATTATGGAGTCTACGAACGAAAAACATATACAGACTGCTTATAGAGTGGCAACTTTAAAAGAATTTATACCTGTGTCGAAGTACAGCAGTCTATTTTGCACCTGCTTCATACACCCGTACAAATACAGTCGCGCCCAGCAGTAGTGAACCTAAATTAATTTTCATATTCATATCGTCAATACAACAGACAAAATACCAAGACATTTACGCTGCCAGTACGACATTTGTGTGGGGGTTTTGCTCCACAAACGGCAACTCTTTGGTGTAGGACAGCTGCAGTACGTCATCGCTGAACATGTCCCAGGAGTGAATGTGGTACTCTCCGGAAAGGAGCATCCGGTTAAATTCTTCCGGACTGGTGATGTACTTGGTGTTCCGCTTGTTGCCTTGCATACCAAGACGACCCCAAAAGCTACAAGTACTTCCGTGCACACTAAGTAATACGTTGCTTCAGATTATAGCAAGAGATGAATACCTGTTTAAACATAATTTGGCTAACGCCCTCATGCCCGGGTTATTTTCAATCTTGTCGCTGTCCAGCTCGATACCTTCGTGCCCGTGAAAGTCCCGCAGGTATTAGTCCTTCTGTTGGTCTGTGACGACATAGGCCGGCCATCCGCTCGCTTCAGTTTTGATCTTCAGGAACCGGTCAACGTAGTCCGCAAACAATCGTTCTTTAGACTGTTCAAAATGCCACACTTCGAAAATCTTCACAACCGAATAGCCCCGATCAATTGCTGCATGAAGCTCCGGTGTACCTAAAAATGTTTAGTGGGGGTTTCTGTGGGGGTTTACCGTGGGTGTCCCGTGGGTGTCTACTGTCACTTACACCATGTCCCCGTCAACGCTCTCTCATTGGCAGAATGCTTACAGGGGGCGTTCTGCTGTGTGCTGACGCAGGTCCGACAAATAGGAAATACAAGCTTTCCATTTGATCGATATGGCAACACAGGCAAAAACAGATCCGCAGGTGGCAAAATTTTGCAATGAATGATGCCAAAGTAATCCGTTACCAGGCCGAGATCTTTGAGGATGATGGTTGGATGCCCAATTGGATAGTGCTTGTGCTTGTTGACATATGGATATTCGCTACAGACGTCGAAGTATCGGATTTTTTCATCGTCTTTCACGCTGTGGAAAAGCTTGGTGGCATTGGTGCGGCCGCCGTAAATCGCATCCCGGGGATTGATAGGCTGGCAAACGGTGATTTCTTTCATAAATGCCGAAAAATCTGGCTCTTGCTTTACTAAATCATCAAACTCGTGCTCCCAAATGACGCACAGTTCGTATCCCAAACTCCGGATGTGGTCGTTGCGCTGAAGCGTTTGTTCGTAGGTCTTGCTCATTGGCAAATTTCTAAATGGACGGATTGTATCACACGCAGTGCATTCTGGGCATCCATGGTACCAGCAACCGTGAAATTCAAAAACTTTGCCGGTGGCTTCAGCATATCCATCCACACAGTACTGCCCGACCATGAACTCGGATCCGGATGCTTTCGTTTGTATTGAGCAGTTTTCTTACAGTTCCATCCATTGCAGCCACTTGAGCGCTTTTACGGATTGGTTGCGGTTGGAATGGTATCCCTTCGGTGGAATTAATCCATTGGATTAATTCCACCGCAGGGATACCTTGACGATGTTAGCCCTAAGGTTGGCCTTGAGGATGTTGGCGCGCCAGTACAGACCGCATAATCAGGCAATCGTCAATGAAGAAGAAAATGGACAGATTCCATTACTCATCCCGAGAAACAAGTTGCGAAACTGCAGACAGCACTTGCGAAGAACGGTGACGTCGTTGCTACAGTACTCCACAAACTCCTTCCGGAAATCGAAGGTGTTGTTCTTTGCTTCTACTTCATCCTTGTACCAGGTTGCGAAGGATTCGCGGTCCTTCTTGCTCATAAACCGGTACCCGTACTGCTCCATGGAAGGGAACTCGGTCACTCGATCCTAGTTTTCGGGTCGATTGAAGCGATGCGGGAACTGTCCTTTGGAAGTGTCCTTAATTCCGAATGTGGCCGGCCATTTGGACAGGCTCTGCGGATTGTAGTTAATGCTGTCTCGGAAACGAATGTTCAACTGTGGTACGTCCAGCTGCATAATCTTCCCGCCATTCAGGATCACTCGGGAAACAATGCCGTTGGTAAGTAACCAGTTGGTGATAAAGTAGCCATCAAAACCCTACAAAAAGCATCTTTACATTTACAGCTAAGCTACTGAAAGAGAACGAATTAGTTTAAAATTGTGAGCAATAATAAAATGGTCACGATGATCTTCGCTGAAAAGAAATCGGCAAAGTTGGTCGGTAACGTCACCAAGTGGTTCCTCCTCATTTGGAAAAATCCATTACTCGCCCTCATCGTTTTGCACAACCTAAAGCAACATAAACAAAAAAAACTAAATAATATCGACGGGTTTACACGTGGGTGTTCGCGCGGGTGTGCTCGTGGGGGTTTATTTGGGGTTTCGGTGGGGGTAATGGGTTTTCCTTAAAGGTTATATCTGCCCCAGAATTCGACTTTAGTTACCAAATGTTTTGTTTTAATAAGATAATAATGCAATACTAGTGCCCTTGAAAAAAAATAATTAATTTCCCAAAAGGTTTTTCGAAGAGGCTTCATTATACAGCATAGTTAGATTTTAGAAAAAACAATAATGTTTTGGAGGGGGAAAAGTAAAACGGATGTCATAAATTATTAACTCACATTTAAAAGGCAATGAGACAAATAAAATATCATTAGTTAAAGTCAAGAAGATTACCGCGCTTACAGCAAGGTTTGGGTAGAGCCGTCCGTCTTCGGCAACGTAGGTTTCAAAATCGAAAAACAGAAACTGAGCATCGTTGTACTGCATCATCTGGATGGGACCCAATATCTGCGGCTCCATGTAACACCGGTGATCGCTCAGGACATGATCCCGACAGGTCTTGCAGAATATCTCTCCGCAGCGGTGAGTGTTTTCTGGTTTCCGTTGCATTAGCGAATACACAGATCCGCAATGAATGCACAATCTTACTGTACTACAGATGCTCCGCCGGGTGCGAAATAACTTTTCAGTACTTGGACCTAACTTATGATGATCGAAACAAGACTGTCCGTAAAACTTTCGCTTGCAGTCAGGACAGGTCAACATAACAGAGGAATCCATCGCACAAGCTGGACGAAGACACTGATTGCACTGTCCAGAACAACGATGGCTTCTTCGGTCATTGTAGCCTTTGTTGCACCTAAAGCACCAATAACTTCGCTTGAAAAATGCTGGCATGGATGTTAATAAATCAAAATGGTGATTATGTAGCAAAAGGCAGACGTGCTTCTCTTCATGCTTTCCACTGTACACAATGCTGCTGGCTTGCATTGTGCTTACAACAATGATCTGATAGCCAGGTAGAACGTTTTCAAAGGCCTGAAAATCCGCAATTGTGTACTCACGTTGAGGTAAACCGGCAGCGGCGATTATTTTTCTTGATTCGGAAAGGATTTCTCTTTTTCCCTTGGCAATTTTTCGGGCATATTCTTTCCGGTCATCGGCAAAGGCTTTTCCAATAACTAGAGCTCGAGCTATGCAGATATCATCGTCATTATCAACTAAAATCACGGAGCTCATCTTACGGAGCTTTCGATACAGCAAAGGCGGGACATCGCGAACACATCGACCAGAGGGAATCTCAGTATGCTCAACGGAAACCTCAAAGGAATCATCAATAATGCACTCCTGGTGTGAGTTGAGAACTTTGGAGATTTTAGCCATCCAGCGTTCCACGGTCAACTGCGATCGCAAGGTCGCAGGTGTCCAGATAGGAAAGGACAGGTATGACGACTCCACAGAAACACGCACGTACTGGTGGTCAGCGATTCGGCATAAAACAACTCCCAAAATATAATCCAACACAGACACAATTATGGCCGTTGCATCACTAAATCGAATATTGTCCAGATCATGTACGCTTACACGAAACAGTTTAAAGTGCATACTCTGCGTTTTAGAATAACAATAACCACTAGCTTCAACGGCTATACGTTCAGCCACTTGAAAATCAATTTCGACTGAACCCCCAACTTGAGATTCTCCAATCAACTGATTGCCATCATCAAACATGTCCTGATCTTCGGCCACCCAATCGTCCAATACTGCTAAGGCAGCAGCATCAATAAGGTCAGCATCAGATAATTCGTAATCCATTTTTAGAAGATTGCAAACTTAAAAACTAGAAAAACTAATCGGTAAATTTTAAAACGTAAGCAATTTTTGAAAAAAACACTTTCCTCAAAAATGAAATCGAGACTGCCGAAATTTTAGTCCGAACGAATTTGTCGCACCGAGATTTTATACTCGAAAAAACCTTGCGTTCCATAGCACTCTCCTATGCATTTCGCAGAAAGTAAAAACGTACGAGTGCAAGTAAGAGTGCAAATAAGGAAGTAATAAACAAGGAAGTAAATGTAAAAACAGGTGCAATGATTTTAAAAATATGTCCGTGGGTGTATCCGTGGGTGTCTTTCGATACAGCGCTATGCGGTTGAGTAAATTGCAAAGTTAAACCGTTCCTTGCATTTTCAGAATTTCTGGTTTTGCACAGGATTAGTTCCAAAAATGCAAATGAAGGTCGTCTGCAAAATCAGACCAACCATGGCCGGTGTGATGTAATATCCAAATTCCGTGTGCAAACCTGCAACGCTTGGCGTCGTAGAAAACAGGTCGTGTGCACAGGTTTGATTCCAGTGGTGGGTGTTTCGATAGGGGTTGCCGTGGGGGTTTTTAAAGTGTTCTTGTGAGCGGTGGTTTTCTAAAAGGTCGGATCCTTGAAGCTTACGCCCCCAAAAGGGGTGGGGCCCACGATGGGGTTGGGCCCCACGATGGGGTTGGGCCGTCAAAGGGGTTGGGACCCTAAAGGTATTGGGCCCCTAAAGGGGTTAGGACCCGTTGGGCTCCCCAATCCAACCCCCCCAAAGGGTTGGACTTTTAGACCCCCAAAGGGGTTGGGCTCCCGAATGGGTTGCGCCCCCAAAGGGGTTGGGCTCCCAAGGGTTTGGGCCCCCAAAAGGGTTGGGCCCCCAAAGGGTTGGACGTTTAGGCCCCAAAAAAGGCAGGGCCACCAGAGGGGCTGGGCACCTAAAGGGGTGGGGCCCCCGAAAGGGGTTGCCTCCAAGGCGGTTCGAATAGCCGCAAGTTGTAACGGTTAAATTCGAGTATGATGTCATCGCCTAGCGTTCCGTGTGCAAAGTTAAGCAGTTCGATAAACGTGTGACGTCATAGTGGTGCGCCACGTGTGCAAAGTTGCAACGGTTCGCTACACTGTTAACCATAGATCTGTATGGGCTACAGTCCCTCCTATAGTAAAGCTGGTTCCATTTTATCGTTAACTATAGATCTCTATGGGCTACAGTCCCACCTATAGTAAAGCTGTTGTTAAGCATAGACCTCTCTGACAACAGACCCATTCAAGTAACTGCCGCGTGGTTAAACTTGCTCATGGGGGGTTCAGGTAACGACACCCTTTCCTATGTTAATTTCCCATAGACGCCAGCCCTTTGTGCTGCTGTCCTTCGAGATGGATCACCTCCACGATATTGCCACGCCGGATCGTATTGCGCTTGTCTGGACGGACTCCGAAGTCAGATAAAAAATCAGCATACAATGCCAGACGGTCCTCGGCGGCGGAAATTTTCGTGCCAACACCCATAATATAAGCCAGAGTGTAGGTGGGCTGCTCGTCCGGATTTCCACTGCAAACGCGGTCGACGACGATAATCGGCGTCCCGCTCGCTGCTTTGTGTACACATCGGTCATGTTTAGCGCAACCTGTTCGCCAAGGTCAAAACAGTATCCTCCTGCTGGTGTTTTTGGTTGGATGGCCTGCATGGCGTCGGCGTGGTACTGCTCCAGAAGGCCATGGATATCGGTAAGAAGGCGGGCGAATGCTTCGGTGTCAGCGCCGGAAGCATTTGGGCGCACTTTTAAACTCACCTTACGTTTGAGTTCCGACAATTCTGCCTGCAACTGAGCAACCTGATTCCGCGGGCAGTTGGCCACCACATGACCTGTTTTGCCGCAGCAAAATCAAGTCAGCGAGGCGCTTGATGACGGTCACCGACCGATCCGCATCACCGACCGATCACCAGAGCGGTGATCGGTCGGTGACGCGGACGCGAGAAGGACGGCATAAGATCGCCGTCAGTTTACCCGTAGGTGGTTGTCGGACGAAGAAAATCTCAGCGGGATGCATTTCTGGCAGCCGCTGCCTGGTGATCACGGTGTGATGGCTGGCCATACGAAGGGCTTCGCTCTCCCTCTTTGCCACTGTATCCGCGCGTGAAGCGCTTCGACTGACGGTCTATTTCGGTCGGATCAACTGGTATTAATGGAATGGGATAAAAGCACGACAAATTTCGGAGAGGTTTTGCGGATATGTCAAAGGTAAAAAAACTGTTGTAAGATGCTGGTTAGCGGTTGGTGACCAACGCGGTTCTCCGGAGGAGGCCGTTAAACGACTGTTTCAGCCATC